GAATTCTCCAGCCAGCATGAGCTGGCTGGAGAATTCTGGGAGTTGAAGTCCACAAGTCTTAAAGTTGCCAAGTTTGGGAACCACTGTCTTAAAACAATCATTTCCTCAAATCTAAATTCTACAGTTCTTTTCAAATAAAAACGATCTGCATATGCTTTTAGGAGCCATGGGGAAACACTTGAAGTTTGATCTCCTTCTTTACCTATAGTTTCAAATACAGGTTAAACAAACTCTTCAGTGGAGTAAGGTTTGGTCTATACTAATTCACTGCATTATAGATTAAGACCCATTTCTCCCCCCAATGCAACAAGTTTTCTAATGAGGGAAAATTATTTGTTCTTGGATTTTCACCCTTGATAAAGTTCTGAGGCTCCATACAAATATCAACTAAGTAAAGTTTTAGACTTTTCTAACATATTGTGACCAAGAAATAAGCCTGAAACCAAAATGTATTTATAATGAAAACATATAGCATTCTTCTAAATAAGCCGATTTCTAAGAATTCTTTGAAGCAGAACTTGTTTCCCTTATATAAAAGGAATATAAAATAACGCATAAAATATATAAATATTAAAAAGAACATAAACTTATTTTATACTTGAAAGAATCCCTTATATGAAAGGAATTCTACTGTTGTTGGGATGATGTTATCCGTTCCTTTTCCACAACAATAAACATAATTGCAGAAAGAAATAAATTTTCTTACAGGCGGGTTTGTGAGGTGAATAGCAAGCCAATAAGAGCATCTCCATGCATTCCCCCTCAATTTTTAATAGCAATGCTAAATGGGTTTTAGAAATACCAAAAGTTTTTTTTTTTCCTTTTGAACAGAAACAAAACATTTCTAACAGTGCATTTATCCTGGAATGCCACAATTGCTTCAGAACAATAATAAATATATAAGCATGCATGCAGGCAACCAAGCAGCCTAACAGAGATTAGGTCCAAATCTGATATCTTGAAGGGAAAATAGCAGGATTTGACGAAACGCCTTTTGGCTGTTATGCAAAGCAGAAGCTTTTTGTCTTCTATAGGGACGTTCTTATGTGAAGCAGCCAAACAGAGAAGTGAATAAACCACCTTTACAACACAACATTGAATTCTATATAATCTACAAGGAGTGATTTCACTTTACCTCACTTTCAGATTCCCTTGTTGCGGCTGCCCATCATAAACGGACAGAATATCAAAATCTTCTTCCAGGGCAAAAGTATGGAATGACAACTGTATCCTGTTTCGTTCGCCTGTGATTATGATCCATGTGCAGTTGGCGTAATTTGGGTAGCCATGAGGGAATCCTGGGCTTTCTATCGTCCCATTGGGGCCTTGTACTAAACCTCCACAGTTCTGACCTGGAAGACAAGAAGGGAAAAGAGAAATGAATACAATTCCAATCATATTTTTTTCCTCTGTCCTATATTAAAATCCACACAAAGCGGGCTTGAGACTGAAAATTTAGCATTTTAAGATGTAACTCCATTTATTCATGTGGCGTTGAACATTGAAGAGAGTAAGGAATAGATGGAATAGACTGAGATAATGCATTTGTAACCGAGACATCATTAAGTGATACAGAATGAACCTACATCAAAGTTACATTATTTATCCTAGGAAGCATGCTTCCCAATCCACCAGTGGTGACCACTGGTGAATTTGGTCCATGAACACTACAATGTACTTTTTAAAATTTCCCTTATTATAAGACTGGACCTTTCCACTGAAAATAATGGGACAAAGTTTTAGAACTTAAATTCTAAACATCAAAGCCCCTTTATTTTATTTTATTTTCCTTGCCACTTATGTTAGTTCTTTACAGTGAATGTTTAAATTGTTATTATAGTGTAAACCTTGGAAGCATCCACGATAAATTAGACAGCAGTGGAATGTGAGCTTGATTAAATAAATAATGGTTACAGGTAATATGTATGTATGTATGTATGTATGTATGTATGTATGTATGTGTATGTATGTATATGTATATGCATATGCATATGTATATGCCTTCATGGGATCATTAATATTGGTAAGGGTTCCTGCTAATTTGTTCCTGAAGCAGCTGGAACTTAAGGATTTTTTTAATTGACTTCCACATTGGGAAATAAATTAAAATAAAAGCCCCCCTCTCTGATGGATATACGTATACATACATGCATACATGCATGCATGCATACATACATACATACATACATACATACATACATACATACATACATACATACATACATACATCTGTCAGTGTGTGTGATCATGTCTTTATTTATTACATTTTTTTAAAAAATGACAGGCCTTCTCCAATTAATTGAGTGGTATACAACTCCTCAAATCTGAAATTTGCCTTAAATACATAAGAATCAAATGTTAAATCATATCTTATTAAATTGCAGTATAAGAATGATTTTTGACAATTAAAAATGACTACTTATCCAGAGTGATAATCAAAACAGCCTTTTCCTCAAGGCTTGGTGAAAAAGCCAAGTCTTCAAACTGTAGATGCTTTGAAGACCAACATGGACAATAGCGCTTAAATGTGAGAGGACACCATTAAAGAAGATAGGAGCATGTAGGTGGACACCTCTGCGTGCAGGGACAGGTGAAGAGTTCACCCTTACTGGGTGAGAGATGTTAGTGGGAGAAGACAATCCCACAGTTATCCAGACCTTAAACCATGAAGAGCATTAAAGGTTACAACAGCAACTTAAGTTGGAAGCCAACTAGACATCAATGCAACTTTCAAACTAGGTTTGAACCAGCTCAGGATTTATCCATAGCTACCTGAGCTGCTGCATTCCGTACTATCCATTATTTCAATATTTTGTATGCTTCCTGGGAGTGCCAGGGGGCTTAATTGGGAAAGCATCCAAGTGTCTATTTGGTCACAATGTTTTTTGTTTTTTTTTGAGGTCTAGTCCCAGATCCAGAAGGAACACTTGATAGTCAATGTTCAATATCCATTGGTGGCCCTGATGATATTTCCTAGGTGAGTAAACAAACATATAAGCTCAGAGAGCACTAAGGACCCCACAGTTCACTCCTGAGCTACAGATCTTCCCTTCTACTGAATACATTGGAGGGTTGTGTGAACACTTTTTTTAAAAAAAGAAACAATTCTGAAATATCCCATTCCCCTCCCTCCCCCTGCATGACATGAGTGAGGGTTAGATCTCAAAAATCCGTAAAGTAGAGCGACAGGAAATGTTTCCATTTCCTTTGGTCCTGTTATGACTAAATTCTGAGATTCAACACAGAACATGTTTATTCCCAGTTTGATTAGTATATCCTGCTGAACCATATGGGGCCATGCTGCTGATTAAATAGGCAATTCTTCAACAAGTAGCCTTGATTTATGGCACGCAGGTTTTTTCTCCATCCATCTTGCTGAGCTCATTAATCCCTCAAATATAGATTTGCCAAAGCTCAGAATTACGCTGAGGCATTAAAATCAATCTGTTTCGTAATGAATAAAATGTCTGCAAAGAGAAAATGTTGCGGGAAGCATTTTGTGCATAATGCTTGGACTCATGTGCAGTTTTGGCATAAATATATTCCTAACACTTGCTGTTATGCCCAAAACAAAGATTATTTCAGGCAACTTTTTTATTATGTCCCAAATACCTGTGAATAGATTTCTGACTTGAAATGCTGTCAAATGCTTGTGGGAGTTTCCAAATCCTAACATAAAAGGCTTAATTTAAGAAAGGATTTGCAGGTTAAAACTATGGCCTAAGAAATTACCATTTCCTACTGAATTTAAATCTGCAACTCTAATGAGTACATATTAAAGCTGTGGGAATTCAGTAGGCCTGTTAAAAGAGAAGGATTTCCTAGCATATCTGTCAATTGTTCAAACCAAACCATTATAATGTAGACATGGCCACATTTCCAAAGCCTTTTATAATTAAGTAGTTCCTTAAAGATGTATTTATAACCCATTAAACATAGCTTGAATTGGGAGAGGGGAGAAATCCACACTCAGCTGGCAATAGGAAATTGTCATTAGTTGCATTTTATGAATACTTCCTTCCTTCTTATTGCAAATTGGCAAAACGAAAAAAAAAATCTAGGCAAAGTCAGCTTTATATATATATTTTAAAGCAGTTTTCTTATGATGACTGAATTGGTGAGGAGAATTGTAATCCTTCTGGCAAGCCTCATCACGGAGTCAATTTATTTGATTTATGTGATTACCCATATATCAGTGGTGGGTTTCAAAAAATTTTGGAACCTCTTCTGTAGGTGTGGCCTGCTTTCCGGGTCCACTGGTGGAACCTCTTCTAACCGGTTCGGTAGATTTGACGAACCGGTTCTACCGAATAGGTGCGAACTGGCTGAATCCCACCACTGGTTCCAATGTAAATGAATTCATGTTGAAGAGCAATGCCACTTTAGACTCTAAACTTCCTTGTATTACATTCCCTGTGGCTAAAGAAACTTTTCCACTGATAGGAAGAAAGAGGGTTGCAAAAATACAGAAATGCTAGTCTTTCCTGTTTAAATGTGTATCACCTGTACAAAAATCAGAGATGAAAAAAGCTTTTTAAAAGTACCAATTCCCCCCACCCCCCCACCCCAGCTTAATTGCTCTAGGACAGTGGTTCCTAAACTTGGCAACTTTAAGACTTGTGGACTTCAACTCCCAGAATTCTCCAGCCAGCAGAGCTGGCTGGAGAATTCTGGGAGTTGGAGTCCACAAGTCTTAAAGTTGCCAAGTTTGGGAATCACTGCTCTAGGATAGTGAAAGAGATGAATACTTTATGCCACCAGATTTGGAATTTTTGGCTTACACAACTTAGAACTACGCCGCCTTCGGTTTGACCTAAGCATAGTACATAAAATTATCTGCTACAATGCCCTACCTGTCAATGACTACTTCAGCTTCAACCACAACAATACACAAGCACACAATAGATGCAAATTTAAGGTAAACCACTCCATACTGGATTGCAGAAAATGCGACTTCAGCAACAGAGTGGTCAATGCCTGGAATGCTCTACCTGACTCTGTGGTTTCTTCCCCAAACCCCCATAATTTTAACCTGAGACTGTCTACCGTTGCCCTCACCCCATTCCTAAGAGGTTTGTAAGGGGCGCGCATAAGCGCACCAAAGTGCCTAGTCTCCCCTGTCCTAAAGTCCCCATTTATTCGTATCATTTCATGTATTCATAATCATGTTTATACATATACCGGTATCTGTTATCTTATACATGCTTGACGAATAAATTAATTAATAAATAAAAAATAAAAATAAATGAAACAATGGCCTAGATAGGGAAGTCGTTAGTTACCCGGTCAACAAAATATACCTTCCTTCCTTCCTTTCTGTACACAGAGAAAAGTCTTCCTAGCAATTAAGAATTTGGACATTTTTGCATGTCTATGAGAGGTATGAGTAATAAACAATTTACAGTATAATTATGTCATCCTGCTCAATGTAAAATAATTAATTCATGGGGAATTTTTTTTAAAAAAAGTTAACTTGTTATGAGATTGCAAAAAATGCAGCCAGTTTGGTATGGTGTTCAAGGTAACCAGTAACCAGGTAGTAACCAGTAGGTATGTGAGTTGTAGTCTGGCCTTAAGCTTGAAAGCCAGCTAGGTGATGTTGAGCCAATCACTTTCTCTCACCCCAACTTATCTCACGAAGTTGTCATTGTGGGGAAAACAGGAGAAGGAAAAGTATTGAGGATTTTCAACACCTTGAGTTATTTATTTTTTTTAAAAAGGCAGGATAAAAAACAAACAAATAAATAAAATGAATTAAAAGAATTCTATTTAACATGTTCTTGAAAAGAATATTTATCAACATGTTATTCAAACATATGTGTAAAGAGAAAGAAAACCGTGTGACTTTTGGCTAGCAGGAGAAATCCATAGATAATGAAAACAAGGATATTTGTGTGCTATTATAGAACATTTTTTTTTTAATATAAGGGATTTTCTTGAAGTAGCAGCCTCTTTATGTCTTTCGTTCTTAAAATAATAATCTTACCCATCCCTAACCTTCTATTTAAGATGTGAAACACATTTGTGTCCTTTTGTCATTGACCTAGTAAATGAATTTTGTACGGTACGATATGGTTCAGATGACTGACTTGTTCATACAGCTGGACAGAACCTTATAATAGAATAAGAGATGAAGTTAGAATTAAAAGTTAAGCTCCCCTTAATTGGATGGATGAAAATGGCCCAGCAATTTTTTTTTTTTCTAGGCCCTGTGTGATGTTATGTAAACCTGTAGAAGAAAGTAGAAAAAAATATGTTGCCGATTATATTGGTGGGTGTATACTCTCTGCACACATATATCTATTGAAAAACAAACTATAAGATTAGTTCCCAGCAAATATTTGATATGCTC